TTTCATAGTTGTTGCTATCACCCAGTGCTTGGAAATACATCCAGAAGTGGTATTTTTATCCGGCAGCAGTTGAGCAGCAAGAGAATTTTGGAATGCCCAGGAGTAATGCATTTTTCTATTCATGTTGCTTGTTGCCATACCACAAATTCAAGTGGAAAAATTGAAATAGGCAATGTAAAACTGTGAAATGAAGCAATAGTGGAAAAAATATCAGCCATGCTACTCATACCCCCTGCTAACACATTGCTTCTGCTTTTGATTTCCTGTAGTGATGGATGTAAATAACTGTTTTCCTTTGGTTTTTGATGAAGTGAGCCAAGACATAGTCAGTCTTTAATTATGCTGCTGAAATAGCACAGAAGCTCATGATGGAAATGGACATTCTTTTTTTCTGTCCCTGCTGACCATTAAGATTTACTCCTGAAGAGAGTACAAAAACTTTAGCCAGAATAACAAGTCTTTTTTTTTTTAGCATCTGACAGCTAGCTGAAAAATTACTCTGAAAGTCCAAAATATTGTTCTTATTTTCCACATTAGTAGAAGCCAAGATGTGGGTCAATTTAAATACAGCTTCAGTATCTGACACTTCCCATCTATTGAAAGGTGTCCTTGTCCCAATTTTTTCCTCCCTTCTCATTTTTTTAATTTATACTTTTATTTAAATGGAGTTCAGATCTTGGCAAATGGTCATGAGAAACATTAATATTAAAGGGATGGTGCTTTCATTCTCACTTATGACAAAGTATTTGTTTCACAGTTCTGGCAGGCAGAAACAAATCCTAATAAATATTGTCTTTACAAGTTTGATGTAAACTTAATGGACTAAAAAAAATAACTGTTCAGTTTAGATTGCCTTCTAAAACTGAATCATGCAAACAAACTCATTTTGAGATTTTCTGACACTTTAATAAAAAAGATTGCTAAAAGCTCAACTGGAAACAAGCCAAGAACAATGGTAAGTAGCTGCCACAGGCTGCTGTTTTATTCCCAATGAGAGCTAGCTAGCATGTCAAATTTGGAAGCCTATCACTTCTGAACACGTTGAATGAACCAAAAAAGGGTATGGCAGGGGTGTGACAGGTTTTTTTAAATTTTCAAGTGAAGCAGTAGGAGGCATCTCCAGAACTCTGGGAATCAGATGGGAGAGAGCTAGACTTAAAACAAAACAAAACGACAAAACCCCCACATTTGCTCCAAACCACCCACTGCTTATTTATACAACAGAAGAAAACACTGAACAGATGGGAGGAGAAGTGAATCATGAAAGCAGGAAACTGTTTCTCGCTCTTGGACTTTAAACTCTATTTGTTGCTTTACCATTTTTCCGTCAGTTCTAATGTTTTAAATGAGATACACCAAGTAATCTTGCAGCATAACACTACCTAGTATGTCTACCTTCACGCTGATATAATGTCCTTGCTGTGGTAACAGCATAATGCACTACGCTTGATCTCTTAAGCTACGTCTACACTATGCGTTTTTGCAAAAAAACAGCCGTTTTTGCACAAAAACCCACGGAACGTCCACACTTCAACTGCGTTTTTGCATGAGAAAAATCTATAGTCAATCGACAGAACAGAGGGCTTTTTGCAGCATAGGTAAATCTCCTTCTAAGTGGCATAACTCCTTTTTGCACTACAGCTCTTGCGCAAAAAGGCGTGTGTGGATGCTCCGCAGGGGTTTCTTGCGCAAAAAGAGCCTATTCGAAAAAGCACAGAATGGTCATCAGAGCTTTCTTGTGCAAAAGCATCCATGCAGTGTGGACGCTCTCTTGCACAAAAGTGCATCGCAAGGACGATGTACTTTGAGGTGTGGATGCACTTTTGCCCAAGAAGTTTTTGTGCAAGAACTCATCCACAAAAGACTTCTTGCACAAAAACGCTGCAGTGTAGACGCAGACTGAATGACAAGGATTTGCCTCTTCTGAAAGTTCACATTTTGCTTTGAGTACCTGTATCAGCAGGGCTAGACAATCTATGTAATCTACTCACCCATGGCAAGTAGATTATATCCCAGAAGAGCTGGGTTCGGGCAATCTGTGCATGCGCAGAACGCCGGACAGCGCAGCTGGCAAGCGGGGCTCACCACAGCTTGGCGAGCCATGTGTATCAGCATAGGGTTAGGGTCCCTAACTTGTTTGTGTCAAAAGCTTCAGAGAGGTAGCCAAGTTAGTCTGTAACTGGAAAAACTTAAAAAACAATGAATAGTCTTGCAGCATCTTAAAGACTAACAAAACTGGTAAATGTTATTATGAGCTATCATCTGAAGTAGGAGGCTGTACCCACAAAAGCTTATGATACCGTCTACATGTTTTATTGGTCTTTAAGGTGCTACAAGACTATTAGTTGTGTGTGTCACTTTAAGTGCATTAAGTTTAAGTTCTGGGGGACGGGGACCACTTCCAGTTTCCCTAGCTCCGTGGTCACCAACTCGTCGATTGCGATCAACTGGTCGATCGTGAGGCCTCGACCAGTCGATCGCGAGGCGTTCGGGCAACCCGACCCCCCATTTTCCCCTCACCCCCCGAGAAGCCCCACTACCTACCTCTAGTGTAGTGCCGGCTTCCCGTGGGGTGGATGTAAGTACTGTCTGAAGCCCGCGTCACTTCCGGGAGTTCCGGAAGTGCGTGGGCTACTCCCCTCACACAGCTCTGTTGCGTGCTGGGGGAGGGGGCATCAACCCCGGAGGAGGAGTGTGGTGGCTTCCCTCTGGGGGCAGGGGGAGAATCCTGGGAGGAGGCAGATGCAGGGGACTCTCTGCTGCCACTGGCACCTTGTCCCCACTCCCCAGACTCTACTCTCCTGTCCGCAGCTACAGAACTCTGTCCCCGTTCCCATTCCCTGAACTCTGGCCTCCACTGGCACCCTGCCCCCAGACCCCACTCCTCAGCCACAGAACTGTGTCCCCACTCCCATCCCCACTGGCACTCTGTCCCCTGCTACAGAACCCTGTCCTCTGCCCTCCCAGCATCCTGTTCCCTCTCCCCTGCCCCCAGCCGCAGAACTCTGTCCCCACAAAATGTATAATTATAAATGCTTCATTTTAGATTTAAATAGCATGAATAAAAAACAGACCATTTATTTCATAACTAGAAACATGTGATTTTAATTTTATATATCGCATAATTTAAAAATAAACTGTTCAGCAGAGTGTGTAAGTAAGGGTTGGGGATAGCAAGTGATGGACAGGAGGAGAATAGAGAGGGCGGGGCTTCAAGGAAGGGGCGGGGCTTCACGGAATGGGCGGAGCAGTAGATCTTCGCCTGTTCTGAGATTTAAAAAGTGATCTTCGGTGTAAAAAGATTGGAGACCACTGCCCTAGCTAGTCCGTGGATTCCTCCCAAGACACTCAGGCAACCTCCGGCAGCAAGGGGGAGGACAGTATGATGATGATGATGATGATAAGAAAGATTAGTAGGTGAGTGGGGCAACCAATGTCACTGAGAGCCAAGAAATATTTATACCCTTGGAGACAATCCCCTGTTCTCAACACATTTCATAGTTGAGCACTGATACTGTAGAAGGCACTTCTGATGAGTTCACATTTTTTTATTTTGCTACAAGTGGGTTAGGGCAATTGGATGTGATGCACAGACTGTTAACGTGTCTGGAGATCGAGCAGGAACTCTCTGCACATCTCCATAAAACTCTTATACAGAAACTCTTTAATCCTCCTCACAAGATTTCTGGGCAGCCCTACCTTATTCTGTCCTCCACAGTAGGACACCTTTCCAAACTGTAATCAGAATCACAGGGTTGGAATTAACCTCAGGAGGCCATTGAGTACAACCCCCGGCCCAAAGCAGGACCAAGCCTAACTAAATTATCTGGTATCATTTGAACACAAAACACTGAAGTATAAGGTCCAGGTTTTTGGAAACATTCAGTCAGCATCAGCTCCCTATCTCTCTCAGGTGATTCAGAGAAGACACATATCTTACATGGCAACCTGGATGAAGCAGAGGAAGCTATTTGCGGATGTCTCACTGGTATACCTCCATTTGCTGATCCCTAATGAAGCACGGCTTAAGGCCCTGCCCTGCTCTGCCATCACGCCTAGACTCCCTACTCCCTCCTGCAGAAAGGGAAAGTTGCATTTTCCCAGCAAACGGGATGCAGAACATATGAGCACCATGCGAGCTCCTGCTCTGCTGCCATGCCTCCGACCTACAAGCTTGTGCCTTGGTCTGTTCCTTTCCATGCCTGACACCAGAGTCCAGCTACCAAGAACTCTGAGGTGTACCTGCTCCATAGTGGCCACTTAACAGCCACTATGGAAAGGGAGGCAGGTAGTAGTCAGGTGCTGTGAAGTAGCTGCCGGAGATTTGGCATCTCTTCCTGCCCTCTACTGGTTCTTCACTCTCCCTTATGGAGCATCATGCTGCCAGACAAGTGGTGATGGGGTGGGAGGAGGGAGATAATTGCCTTAGCTTAAACATGGTTCCCTCTATACCAGAGGCAGCTCCTCTATTTATGACTGGATTCCTTGGGCCCCAAACTACACAGGAACTCCTGGAACAAGGTATTACCATTTTCAACTGTTCAAAAACATGCATCCAGACCCTTAAAATATATTTTTAAAAATAATAATCTGCATTTTTGTAATCTGCCATTTTCTTTTACAGCCTTTTAAGGTGTCCTTGCTTCACATTTTCAATCTTATCTCTGTACCATGAGAACAAGAACAGTTTTTTTTAAACGAAAGCCAAGATTCTTGCATTCTCTTTTGACTCCAGCAGTTGGGACTTTGAGAACAAATATCCCAAGACTCACCAATAAAAACATAAGAAATGTCAACACCAGGAATTTGATTTACTCCCACTGTCCTCGATTTTACAGTTACCCACCTTCCTTCCACTTGCCCAACTGCTCCTTCCCTGCTGGCATGAATGCACAGTAAAGAGGAGCTGAAGCAGGCAAAGGAAGGAGCAGACAGCAGCCATCTTCTCATCTCTCTGCCTTATGTCCTGAAACATTTTTAATTTGTTGACAACTATAGCTGTAAAAGCTTGGATCTAGACATAAACGGAGAGGTAGCTGAAATGATACCAGATGTGAAGGTTCATAAGAATAAGTGTGAATTATAAAAATCTTTTCAGATATAGTCACATAGCTCAGTTTTACAGACACCATCCCAAGAAAAACAAGATACTATACCTTGTTTGTGGTCATCACATACAGGTTCTCTTGGTTAGCATCAAGGACAAGGTCATTCTTTATGGGTTTATTTACTTCAGCGGACACAGTGCTATATTCATTTGCAGGAGTCGTAAGCAACACCTATTTAGTGGAAGATAGGTGATTAATGCTGCTACTTTATTATTTCAACTTATCTTTAATGAAAATTGTGTGTTTGAGTCTCTTGTATTTGTGTGTTGAGGAAAACATTCTAATTTAACAAAAACCACTTGAGAAGCAGTAAACAGATCATGAGGCATGAAAAGAAACCTCCTTCCGTTGGAACAATGTCATACTTGTATTGACTTTTATCCAATGTATATTATTTATATCAGTCAACTTCATCGAGTCTTCATGCCATGACTTTGTATCTAAAAAACGTTCATGTTGGTTATTTACCGTTATCCAATGGAGTTTGCTCCACATTTCAAATTATATGAGGGATGTGTTTATCATTAATGTTCAAGCAAAACAATTTTGCAGGGCTTCCTAAGATCAGATGATCCATAACACTATACATATGATGAAGACTCACCCTACTCATCAGAAATCCTCTCCCCAAACCGAACAACCTACAGTTATAGACCTCATATTGCCTTTCACATTTCTACAGTCACTGAAGGGCTAGATTGTTATAGGATGAGGATGGAGAACTACATTCATAAAAACTGTTCTTAAAGTAACTGGCCTTGAATGGAGATAAAACTAAAGATCTGTGTTGGATTCACCATACAAAGTGCATTCTTCGACCTTATAATGTCTTATGAATGAATGCAGTATAAAATAGGTAAAATCTGATGACTTTTCTGGGTATGCTGAAAAAAACATGGATTTGGTAGAACTTTTAGGGAAAGCTGAAGATGTTCTATGTTGGGTGGTAGGAAAAATTTAGAGGAATATTTTGCTGCTTCGATTTATTGGCAGGACTTGTTCAGAGAGCCTGGGAGTCTAAGGGTAGGAGATCCTGCTGAGGCTGGGGGCAACTTGGTGGATAGCACGGAGCTAGAGTTCTCAGGCAGTTCCCAGAAGCATGGGGCTGGAGCTGGATCCCGCTGCAAGCAGGACCAGGGCCAGAGCTCCTCAGCAGTCCCCAGCAAGTGGGGCTGGGGCCGGAGTCCCCCAGCAGGAGCTAGAGCCTGGGGAGCTGGCAACAGGTGTAGAACTAGGAGCTGCTGTAAGAGGACCTCCACTGGTCCAGCATATTCTCTTGTTCGGGACCTGTCAGGTCCAGATGGTGCCAGACCAGAGAGGTCCAACCTGTACTAAATAAACCAGCACTTTGGAGTAGCTGAAGAAGTAAATCAGAAATATTTTCTCTCCTTTAAAATTAAGAATGGGAAGTGCAGAAAGATTCTATATCTGAAACTTTGCTTTATTTTTTTTAAAAAGTTATTTGTCTTTAATAGAGAAGCATGCTACTGCCACAACTTGAAACATTTTAAACAGGTTCTAGTTCTTTAAAAGTAAGAAACATTACCTTAAGAATATTACCCTCTGAAGTTCCTAGAAAGGCAACCGTATGCCCATTCTCCACTGCAACAGTAACTGCAGTTAGATTAATTCCCTCTTTCTGTAATAGTGGTTTCGCATCAATACCACTTTCGCTTCCCAAAGGGTATGGTAAATGTTCAGAACCACAAGTAAAATTCTTGATTGCACCCTAATAATGAACAGAGATATAGAATGATGTTAAACATTCAGATCAATAACTCCTAACTCAGAGCACAATGAAATAGTATTATCACAATATAACCCTGTACAAATAGGACTAGCTGAGAATTGTAGACATTTCTGTCTCTTATTTGAAGAATATGGAAGGACAAGAAGAAAAAGCAGAAGCACAGCTCTTCCTTCTCCTTAGGACAACAGAAAAGTAGATTGATAACTGCAACTGGTTGAATGTCTCTCACTTTGCACAAAGTGTTTTGAATGGGAGAAAAAAACCTCCAAACCAACCCTTTGTTTCTATTTTCTTAAGGAGATAGAAAAAGATATAAAAAACTAGCCAGTGTGTACAATCAAAATAAATAGGCTTTAGATTAGGGAGGTTAAAATACGTGTAAGTAAATAACCGTGTAACCTCTGAAAAAATGCGACAAAAGCTGGCTACCCGCAAGTACCCGCTCCCCACCTACCACCACATTCTGCAGCCTCTGGTAAAGAGGCAGCTGCATGGGGTGGCAAGTGGTGCTCCAGGAGCCAGTGTGCACTGGGAGCTGGCTTTTAAGCTTCTACCTGGAGCTTATTAGAGGCAGCAGTGTAGGGGGTGGGGCAGGTAGCTCTGCATGATATGGCTCCTCATGGGCATCGGCTCCCACCTCCCCTCTCCTCTTGCAGCAAGGGCCGGGGTTGAGAGGGGATGTGCATGTAGTCGACAGGATTAACCAATAAGACCAGGCTTATCAGTTAACTGTGTAGTTGTCTACATGCTAACCTCCTTAATCAATACTAGATATTTTTGGCTCCCTGGGAAAACAGGTCTGGGAGTGTCATAGAGAGGCAACACCCTTAACCCTAAGAATATTTTGGAACAGCTATGCTGAAGGCTCTCTAGAAAGTGAAGGAGTGTTATTGACAATCGGTGAAAGTGAAGCATGACCTCCATTATATTAAAGCATTTTGGGCCAAAATGTGGTGGTCATGGCCTGGCAGAAGAAATATGCAGACCTCCTTAGGCTTGAAAATTAGAATCCAGTTGAAAAACATTAAAAATGCTAGAGATCCTGAAACACCAGTCTTGAATTTTTAAAATATCATATAAAAATTAATAGATTCATGGATTTTAAGGCCAGATGATCATCTATTCCCTGACCTCATGTATTTTACAGCCTATGGAATTTCACCTTATAATTTCTACATCTTCCCTACTATATAAAACAGCCAATTAGCCCGTCATAAGACGGGATTTTCAGGTCTCTCCTCCACGTCGGTCTTCTCTCCTGAACCTCCGGTCTCTCTCTCTCTCTCCCCTCCTCCTCCTGTTTCCCCACCCCCTCTCAGCTCTCCTCCGCCTCCTGCCTCTCTCTCTCCTCCTCCCCGTCCTGCCTCTTACTCGGGGGACCACGGTGCCCAAATGGCCGTTTGGGCGCCGCACTCCCCGTGCTGCATGGGGGGTGGGGAGCCCAAATGGTCACTTGCACCCACGTGGCGGCCTGGCTGAGCAGCGCAAAAGTCAGCTGAGCGCCATGGCAGGAGGCGAAGGGGGACGGAGCGGTGATGTTCACTGCCTGGGGTCAGGGCCTGGAGCCGCTGTCACGCCGCATGTCACTACCCTGTCCCCCTTCGCCTCCTGCTGTGGCGCTCAACTGACTTCTGTGCCGCTCAGCCAGGCTGTCGTGGGGGAGCAAGTGTCTGTTTGGGCTCCCCCGTGGCGGCCCGGCTCAGCGGCGCAGAAGTCAGCCGAGCACCACGGCGGGAGAAGAAGGGCGGTGCGAAGGGGGGGCAGGAAGGTGACATACATGGCCAGGCCCTGCCCCGACCGTGTACGTCTCTGCAACCCAGCCTTCACCTCTTGCCGTGGTGCTTGTCTGACTTCTGTGCCGCTCAGCCAGGCCACCACGTGGAAGCAAGTGGAGCAAGTGGCTGTTTGGGCTCCCCCACGGCGGCCCAGCTGAGTGGCACAGAAGTCAGCCGAGTATATATATATATGATAATTTTGTTGAGCCCAATAGTTTGTGATTGAATTAAAATGGGTCTTTCAGGAAAACATCCAGTATTCATTTAAAGGCTGCAAGTGATAATGGCTTTACCATTTCTCTTTGCCGAGCTGTTCTAATGTCTAATTAATCCCCTAAATATTGCATCATATTTCCAATTTGATTTTATTGAACTTCAGCTTCCAGTCACATGATCTTATTATGTCTTCTCCCAATAGCCTAAACTGCTACCCAGTATGAAATGCCTTATTCAATTTTCTAGTACAGGGGGTTCTCAAACATTGTGATACCGTGACCCCACCCCAAGTTGCTTGCAATCCCGGGGGGGGGGGGGGGGGGGGGGGGGGGGGGGGGGGGGGGGGGGGGGGGGGGGGGGGGGGGGGGGGGGGGGGGGGGGTTGGGACCCACAGTTTGAGAAACACGGTCCTAGTACTTCATTTCCCAAACACAAAAAGTCTGAAATAGACCTTACAGTTGAGGTTTGCATTACCTGAACCTTCTGTGATACACATATGGGGTGTCCTGTAAAGGGTTTATAAAACTTTGTTTCGACAGATTGAGTGTAGCATTGGTCCCGATACTGTTCCATCTTTTCATTGATCTGTCTCAAGGAAAACATACACATGGCTGATTTGAGAGAGCCATTGTCTTTGTTGAATTTGCTGAAGAGAGCAAGAAGAACTTTGCCCTCTGATAGGATACTACCATCCTGTCCCGGTTGGGCTATGCTCTCAGCCAACTTTTCTCCTGGAGTTGTGACATAGACAGAATGACAGTGATCATAAATGCCATCATCATCTTTACAGCTTAAACCCATTTCAAAGTAAGAATAATAGTGGTCATCGTTTTTGCACAGACGGGCAATCAGTATTCCATTATTAAGGGACTGTTTCTCCTGCTGATTAAAGATAAAATATACATATATAGCATCTTCAAAGACTGCCACAAACTGCTGAGTGTTTGAGGTGAGATATCCTGATTTCATAGCTGTAGCATCTGTATAGGTTTCAAAAATGTCCTTCCCCTCCTCAATGTAAAGCTGCCTAGTGCTAATTATTATCCCATTATCACTTGGTCCATTCCCTTTTCCGACAAACAGCACTAAGCCTTTACTCAGGGAGGTGATTAGTCCCACGGTTGAAACAGTCTCATCATTGCTTGCCACAAAAGACTTTTCTCCACCGCTGTCAATGTAATAGGTTATATTTTCAATGTTCTCCAATTCTCTAATAGCACAGATTCCTTTAAAAAGGCTTCCACACACAACAATCTTTCTCTCAGGTTTATTTAGCAAAAGTAATTTGTTGGAATTGTTAGTCAATGTTGTATCAGGGCACTGAGCTTCAATGGGAGGGGTGCACATTTTGTTATCCAATTTTGGACCCGTTTCTACAGACATCTGTTTCTTCAAGTCTTTTGTAAGTTGATACAGGTAGTTTACTGCTCCCAAATAGACAGTCCCTGTATCATAATTCACTGCAAGGTGGTTTAACTCTGTCGTACTTTCAAAACAATCCTTGAATTCACAGCAGACATAAAAGCAGCTCAAAATGCTCAAAGTCCAGATCCATACAGCCATTTCTATGCAATACCTAAAAGAGAAAAATAAAAAGATATAAAACATGCAAAAATAAAGCTTCACTTCAGTAAGCTTGGCTTTAAAATATTGATTTATAATCAAATAGCCTCTGAAGTATGTCAAATGAGGTCAACTGTTTTTTTTTTTGCAAAATTTGGTGGTGTGTTTGAATATAGTCACTGCTGGCAATCCACGGGCCATGAATGGAGCCATGATGTGTGGTGGGCTGGGAGGAAGGAGAAATGCTGCTGCTTTCAAAAGTGTTATGTTCTGTAAGTCCTTTTATTGTGCTTGTAAAAATAAACCAAAAGCTCCAGATAAACATCACACCAAACAGCATTTAATTTAGAACAAAATCTAAATAAAAACAAACAGTCAGTGTTATTAAACATCAGATTTATGGGCAGTTTCTAGAAGTTTAAGAGCCAACTGAAGATCCTAAGACAATTTTTCTGAAAGTATAAAGAGGATCAAACTTTTTACATACCCAGTAACTGTAAATCAGGGATGTTAACTATTGTGTATTTGTGCAAATGTATAACTGCTGGATTTATTTACACCGTTACATGTGGGGGAGAGGGGCAGGCTAGAGCCAGTGATTGTTGGGAGCTGGTTCCCTCCCTCTAGCTCTGATAAAGAGGCAGCAGCTTCATGGGAGCCAATACGTATGGGGAGCCCACTTGAAAGCCGATTTCTGTATGTCTCTATTTGAGCCTTTTTTGTGCAAAAATAAGCAGGGTGGATGTTTCCTTTTTGCGCAAAAAAACCCCAGAGGCATAAGGATCTTGCGCAAAAAGGGTTTTTTGTGCAAAAAGTAAGCATCCACACTGCTTGTTTTTGCGCAAAAATGGCTTGAATAGATTATGCAAATGAAGCGTGACAAAATGCTAATCAGCGCTTCATTTACATACTCTCTGCCAGCAAAAGCTGGCAGTGTAGACAAAGCCTATAATGAGAGAGAGGCAGATATACTAGAGTATATGAATAGGTTGCCAGAGCAAGGTTGCCAACCAACAGAAATTTCAATTATGGACAAAATGGGGAAAATTTACAGATAGACACATTTTTTTACAAACATAATTTTTATTCTATATTAAGATGACATAAATGGCCATGTGACTCACATTACATCACCTCAACCATTGAGCTAAATAAACAACTAAAATGTCCAATTTCCACTGCTCCACAGTAAAATGGCTGAAGCGGTACAGAAGAAATTTAATTGGTATAGAATAATTGCTGTTCTTTAAAATTTTATTGCACTTTTACAAAATTTACGGACACCTCAATTTTTTTATGGACATGTCCAATTTCGGCTAATTTTTTATGGACTGTCTGTAAATTTACTGACAGTTGGCAACCCTGGTCCAGAGTGACCTAGATAAATTGGGAGGATTTAATCCAAAAGATATGATAAGTTTTAATAAGTACAAGTGCAAGGTCCTTCACTGAGGATGGAAAAATCCCAAGCACTTCTACAGACAGAACTGGCTAAGCCAGTTTTGCAGAAAGGGATCTGGGGATTACCATGGACAAGAAGCTGGATCTGAGTCAACAGTGCGCCCTTGCTCCCAAGAAGGCTAATTGCATATTGGGCTGCTTTAGTAGGAGCACTGTCAGCAGATCGAGGGAAGTGATTATTTCCTTTTTTTTGGCACTGGTGAGACCACATGTGGAGTATTTCACCCAACTTCCTCCCCAACTACAGAAACGATGTGGACAAATTGGAAAGAGTCCAGTGGCAGACAATGAAAATGATTAAAAAAATTAATGGAGATTGCCTATCTCCTAGAACAGACCTTGAAAGGTCATTGAGTCCACTCCCCCTTCCCCCACAGCAGGACTGAGTACCAGCCCTGACAAATTTTTGCCCCAAATGGTCTCCTTAAGGACTGAACTCATAACGCTGGGTTGAGCAGGCCAATGCTCAAAACCACTGAGCTATCCCTCCCCCTCACCTGAATTCAGGGTCTAACTGGGCTAGGCACTTTATTCATGAATGAAGTCACACATAACTTCCCTCTGAAGCATATTCACTGGTGCAGTCAGGTAACATACATGATTTATGAAGGGACTAGGATAATTTACTCTGCAGAAAAGTGAGGGACTCAGGGGGCATATGACAGCAGCCTTGATTACCTGAAGTGATGGGGGGCACAAAGAGGATGGCACGTGACTAGGCTATTCTCAGTGGTGGTAGATGACAGAACAAGGAGTAATGGTCTCAAACTGCACTGGGAGAGCTCTAGTTAGGAAAAAGTATTTCACTAGCAGGGTGGTGAAGCACTGGAATGGGTTACTGAAGGAGCTGGTGGTAGCTTCACCCTTAAAGCTTTTTAAGGCCTCACTTGACAAAGCCCTGGGCTGGGATGATTTAGACGGGACTGGTTCTGCTTTGAGCAGGGGTTTAGAATAGTGTCTTCCAATACTAATCTCCTATGATTCTATGATCTTTTTAGCTAAAATGTGCACACTAAAAGCTACTTACTGGATTTTATTGTTTCTATGTAACCCTTCCAGTCCTTTGTTAGTTGAGGAGCTGATAAGTTGGAGGAGGAAAAGAAAGAGAACTGGAATATTTGTATTAATCCGAAGAGCAGCAATATCTGTCAAGGCAGGAAATCTTTCTAAAGGGTTAAAAGTTATAGCAATCATGCTAAATTACTTGGGGAAAAAAATCAAACCCATACACTTTATTATTTTTCAACAAAGTTGACTTGGACACATAGGAATTAGATTGGATCCTGTTAAGTATTACTTATATGAATGTGTTCCCCCTTGTTTAGGAGGGAGAGCAGAAAGCCAGATGCAAGGATGTGAACTTCAGCACTGTGAGAAGCTCCCAAGAATGGGATGAGGGGAAGACAGAGGCAAGGCAAAAGCAAAAGGTAGTGAGAGGGCAGTATTTTGATTGCTTATATGTATCATACCCTTAACACAACATTGTTTCTTTAAATAAAATAACAAAACTGAACAGTGCAGCAGTTCTTCAAATGGTGGTTCGGGACCCCAAAGTAAAGCACGACCCCATTTTAAAGGGGTCACTGGGACAGGCTTAGACTTGCTGGGATACAGATCTGAAGTCTGAGCTTCATTGCTCATTGCCAAAGCCGAAGTTCAAGGACTTCAGCCTTGGGCAGCAGGGCTCAAATTACAGACCCCTTGTCTGTGTCTGAAGCCCTTGGGGTAGTGGGGTTCCAGTGAGCCCCTGGGGTTGTGTAATAATTTTTGTTGCCAGAGGGGGTCTTAGAGCAATGAAGCTTGAGAACCCTTGAAACAGTATTATCATTTGTCTTATGTGAATTGCTTTTAGAATTCTTCAAACTTCGGCTACTTGTGTTTTCAGAAGCTAATGGTATTTGAATTTTTAAATAGACTAGCTGATTGAATTAATTATATTAACATCCTTTGAGATGTAAGAGTCTGCTTTTACCTATGACACTCAGGCTGGCTTTCCAAGCATGAAACATTTTGCAAACTTGCAAAAGTTAAGATATGAGGGTGGGGAAAAGAAAGTATGCAGGCCTGTACATGAAGATATAAGGGGGAAAAAAATCACATGCAGACAGAAATCTGGCACCCAAATATCACTCAGTAACTCTTCCTTTGAAAGTTAATTGTGTGACTGTCTAGTGCCTGCCTGAGGGGGAAAAGACTTGGAAAACTACCAGTGATCTCAAGTCAACTCTGAAAAGAAATGGGTCACCAGAAAAGAAAAATAATTTGAAACAAAAAGTAATCTAACAGCAGAATGCCTTGTGGCAGGGTGCAAGCAACACAAAATGCAAAACTCAGTAACTCTTCCTTTGAAAGTTAATTGTGTGACTGTCTAGTGCCTGCCTGAGGGGGAAAAGACTTGGAAAACTACCAGTGATCTCAAGTCAACTCTGAAAAGAAATGGGTCACCAGAAAAGAAAAATAATTTGAAACAAAAAGTAATCTAACAGCAGAATGCCTTGTGGCAGGGTGCAAGCAACACAAAATGCAAAA